ACTTGTGGAATGAGTGATGTTATAACAAAACTCAGCTTGTGGTAACATCTGTACCCAATCACTATGGTCAGCTGTTATATGATTTCTCAAATACATATTAAGGATTGCATTGATCCTTTCGGTTTAACCATCTCCTTGAGAGTGAAACGTAGTAGTCAAGATGAGTTTGGTCCTTGACCTTCTCATAAAGTGTTGCCAAAAGGCCATTAGAAACTGTGCATCTCTATCACTTATTATATTCTCTAGATACCTTTTTTGGCAAATTCAATGATCATAGAAGAGTTGTGCTGTTCTTTCATCACCATCACCCCACTTAGTTGGAATGAACTTTGCATGTTTACTAAACCTATCTACCACTACAAAGATGGAATCATAACCTTGCACCACTGGCAAAGATGTCATGAAATCCATTGACAAACATCTATATGGTGCCTTTGGTATGGGCAAGGGATTTAGCAAACCCATTGTTTTTTGAATATTTGACTTATTCATTTAGCATTTGGTGCAAAAAGCCACATACTTTTCTACATCTCTTTTGAGATTAGGCTAGTAGTATTTCTTGGACAATTCTTTCATTGTCACTGGTACTCTACGATGTCCCACTTTTGGAGTGTTGTGGAACTCACACATGATTTTCTTTCTCAAATGCCCTTCTGGCAAATAGAGTCTACTTTGTTTATAGTAGATTAATCCATTGACTCTCTTAACGATCTTAAGTCTAGGAAACTTAGAAGATAAGCCTTTCTTTGGAATTGATTTGTAGTCAAACATCTTATTCAATTCTTTAGCTTCTTCATCTTCTTTCTAATCTTTCTTAACTTCTACTTCCAATGGTGTATCGTTTTGATTCATCACTATGGTCAATATAGTCATGAGTTCCTCTCTTCTACTTAATGCATCTGGCACTGAGTTTTCACGTCCAGGCTTATGAATGAGGGTTACATTCATGAAAGCGATTACATCATATCACCTCAATTCTTTAGGAGTGGCTTGTGCTTTGCTCTCAAGATACTTTAATGAGATGTTATCAGTGAAAACCTTTGTTTTTAAACTTTTCAAATAATGTCTCCAAGTCTTGAGGCAATGGACAACTAAAAAGAGTTATTTTTCGTGGGTAGGCCATCTCAACTAGCTTCTTGTGAGTTTTCTACTTTCAAATGCAATGGACCTTCCCTCTTATATTAACACTCCTCCTATGGAAAATCCACTTGCATCTGTATGCACCTCAAATTTCTTATCGAATTTTGGATACTAAAGTACTCCAGAAGTACTTAAGGCCTTTTTGAGTATATCAAATGCTTCCTGGCATTTGTTATTTAATTGAAATCTCTTGTTGTCTTTGGTCAATAAATCAGAGAGGGGTCCAGTAATCTTAGAGAAGTTCCTTATCAACTTTCTATAATAGTTTGCTAGTCCTAAGAAGGCTCTCACTCCTCTTTGAGTTAGAGGCACTTCCCACTCTTTGATTGCCTTCAACTTTCTAGGATCAGCTTTAATCCCTTCATTGTTGCAAACATGACCCAGGAACTCAATTTCTCGGAGTGCAAATTCACTTTTCTTTGCATTAGCATAAAGCTGATTGTCTCTTAGCTTACCAAGCACAATTTCTATATGCTTCGCATGTTCCTCCTCAATCTTGGAATATATCAAAATATCATCAATATTGATGATTACATACTTATTTGTTTCTTTATGGAATATTGAATTCATCATTGTGGTAAATGTAGCAGGTGCATTGCACAACCCAAAAGGCATTACTACAAACACATATGATCCATACCTTCTTCTACAAGTTTTTTTCTCAACATCTTCACTAGCCACTCTTATTTGATAGTACCCTGACTTAAGATCTATTCTTGTAAAGAATTTGGCTCCTGTCAATCTATCCATTAAGTCGTCTATCCTTGACAAAGGATAGTTATTTTTCACAGTGATCTTATTCATGGCTCTGTAGTCTATACACATTCGAAACTTCCCATCTTTTTTGCTTACAAACAGAACTGGAGCTCCAAATAGTGACTTGCTTGGTCTAATGTATCTCTTTGCTAACAACTCCGTGAGTTGTCTCTTCAACTCTTCCAACTCTCTTTGGTTGAGTCTATAAGGGGCTTTACTAGGTGGTATTGAGCTTGGTACCAAGTGTATCTTATGATCTACCACCTTTCTTGGTAGTAGTTCTTTTGGCAAGTCATTAGTCACCACATCTTTGAACTTTTTAAGTACACTCAAAATATTTTGAGATAGACACTTTAAATTTTGTATTAAACCTTCTTTATTCATTGTATATGCTTGAAGCAATAAATAGAACGTATCACCACTTAGTTGTCCATGACTAACCAAGTTGATGCCTAAGCTTTCTAAATTAAGTTCTCTTGTATGAGATAGGATAGTTGATTTTTCATCTATCCCAACCATCATAACTTCCAGTTTAGGTCTTCTCCTAATCTCAACTCCATAAAAGTCAAGAAACGTATTGCCTAACACAAAATCAACACCACTGAGGTCACACACTATAAAATCCTCTACTATTTGGATGTCACCTACTTCAAAACTTAAGCCTGCAACTACTTGTGTTGCCAGACTGCTTCCTTGTGTAAACTCCACCTTCACCACTTCTTTGCTTGGCTCCATCTTGAACCTTAAGCGTGCGACACATCTTGAACTTACAAACAAGTTTGTGGCTCCTGAATCAAGCAACAATGAAATGTTAGTATCCTTCTACTTACCTTTTAAGTAGACTAACCCTTTCTGATGACTTAATACATTTCACTTTGCCTCAAATCTTCCTTCAAGTGCCCTAGCTCGAAGATGAAGACTCTCCTTAATCTTTATACCTTGTTTTAAAGATGATTGCACATGTCATTCCTCAAACATGGCCTTAGGCCTTATAGGCAAAACAGGGTTTATATGTATAACCTCTCTTATGATATTCAATACCTTTTTGCCCTTTGAAAAATTAGACTTGGGCTCATTAGTACAATCTCTAGCAAAATGACCACTTTGTTGACATCTATAACAAGTGTCATTATCATGGCGAGATTTCTTATCTCTATCACCTTGATCTTTTTTGACCTTGTGGTCTTCTATTTCAAATTTTCTTTTGAAGGTTTTGTTTTTGTTTGGCTTGCCTTTGCTTTGGTTGGAGCTTTTCTCTTTCTATGCACTATGGCTCACTCCACTTGAGGAGCTTTCTACCATTAGCTGATCACTTAAGGCCAATGCTTCATCCAAAGTTTCAGAAACACTTTCTCTTTCAAAATATTTTTGTCTTGTGGCTTCTTCTAGCCCTACATAGAAGATCACTAGCTTTGAATACTCATTCATTTTTTTATAAGACATCATCTTAGCTTGAAATTCACGAGAGTAATTTTTAAGGGATCCTTTTTCCATGCCTTATTTTAAGTGGACCATGGCAATGCCATCTAAGAAGTATTGATATCTTGGCACAAATCTTGCCAAAAAAATTTCTTTAACTTCTTCCCATGACTTTTCTATACCATCCAATGTCTTGTTCTTTTCTGACAAATACCACTCTAATGTAGTACTTTCCAGTAGAGTAAGTAGAGTTTTCACTCTCTTAGTGCCCTTAATATCGGTTGCATCAAACCAAACTTCAACTTCCTCAAGGAATTTCCTCATAGGCCGCCTTACCTCCACATCATTCCACTTCTTTGGAGTTGCGATTTTTGATAAGGTTCCCTTCTCAAGTCCCTTTGATCCCATCCAAAGTTCCCGTTTTTTTGCTACTTCCTCCCTTACAAGCTTCATGAGATCTGAAAATGACACAGTAACTTTAGATTCATCCTCTTTTGAGGTTTGGATTGTGTTGACATGGTTTCCTCTTGAGGACTCATCTTTATCTTCCTTAAAGTAGTCTTCCCTTCTCGAGTTTCTTGTGTTACTTTCTTTCAACTATATGGAGTCTACACTCCCTTCGAAACAAGAGTGACTTATCTTCTGAGGCTCAGGAACAGGCGGCGCCTCTTAGATCCAACCCCTTGGATTTCGACTTGTTGCTGACTTGATCCTGCAACAACTCTCTTTCCTCGAGCCATAGCTAAAGTCTGTGCTTAGGTCTTATCACTACAACTCGATCTTGGTCTAGCTGTGCCTTATGCCAACTAGTCCCACTCTAATACTAATGTAATTCTTCAATTCTTTACCAAGATTCAGTAGCACTCGCTACTTGCATCCAACCAGCCCTCTAATTAGTTACCGACCAACTCTTACTTTGTCCGACCTAAACTGCGACTCTAGTCCCAACTCGTGGCGAGAATCTTGAGGCGCCAAGGTTTAGTCACCCGGAACTGGTTCCTCTCTTTTCGATGAGAAGTGACTATGCCCGTTACATTCTCAACGCCATGCAATCCTGTGGCTTTTGCCTCAGGCTGGCATCTCCCTTCATAGTCCATGCCAACAAACTATCTCATGCCACTATCGCAACATGATGGGACCGAGGGAGTTCCTTGAGGCTTAGTCCTCCCTGACCTCCCTAAGAAGTCATCGTCGCCAAGTGTTGTCCTTGCATTACTTGGGAGACTTCTCCTTTTTGATACTCGCTTCTTACTTCCATCTCTCATGGTGGAATTTCCACGTAAGTCACCTCTTCTTTGCACACTTTAGGGAGGTGATAGATATGCTTACACTCAGCGGGTTTTCTTTCTAGATCAAAGGTTTATTGCAGGACATTCTTCTTCTTCTTCCTCCTCAAGTTTTTTCAAACAAAAGAAGGGAAGGGAAGGGACCTGCTTTGGGATCCAAACCTAGGGGATACAAATCACACACTCAAAATAATTCTAAGGCCAAGCTTAGATCACTTGATTGTGGACTATGTCACCATGCCGATCGGATTTTCTCTCTCTATTTCAGCCAACTCAATCTTTTATTAAAAAAAAAAAAAAAAAAAAAAAAAAAAAAAAAAAAAAAAAAAAACAAATTTAAATGGCCAGTTTCACTCAACTCTCCCTAAAAGATATAAAGAGAATTGGTGGGTGTCGCGATGATGCTTTGGCAGGAATGCCCTCAAACGAGCCTCGGGCGTAACTTGCATTGAAAAACTCAATGATTCATAGAATTCTACAATTCACACTACATATCACATTTCGCTACGTTTTTCATCATTGCAAGAGCCAAAATATCTGTTGCTAAGAGTTATATTTTATTATTCATAAAATCTCAACTCATGAAACCTTCTCCTCAAGAAGAGGTGGAAGCTTTTCATAGGATCTCAATACAAATTCACTCAAATAAAAATATATAAATCATTTTACAATATGTGTTTTGTATTCGGGGTTGCCCTATGCTCTCTCTGTTGCATTCCTGCAACAAAAGACATACAAAACAAGTCCGACCACTCAACAACAAAGTGGTTTATACAAATAAGGTATGTTCTCAAAAACGGGGTTGTTTGTAATTTTTTTTGTGTATGCAATGATCCTTCCGTAGGTTCACTTACGGAAACCTTGTTACGACTTCTCCTTCCTCTAAATGATAATGTTTAATGAACTTCTCCCAACATCACTGGCGGCAAACCGCCAGCATCGCTGCAATCCAAAAACTTCACTGGACCATTCAATCGGTAGGAGCGACGAGAGGTGTGTACAAAAGGCAAGGATGTAGTCAACGTGAGCTGATGACTCATGCTTATTAGGAATTCTTCATTGAAGATCAATAATTATAATGATCTATTCCTATCACGATGAAATTTCAAAAGATTATCCAGATCTATCGGTCCAGGTTATAAACTCGTTGAATTCATCAGTGTAGTGCGCGTGTGGCCCAAAACATCTAAAGGCATCACAGACCTATTATTGTCTCAAACTTCCATTGGCTAGATGATGATAGTCCCTCTAAGAAGTTGGCCACAAAGGAAAAAATCCTTCGTATAACTAGTTAGCAAACTAAGGTCTCATTCGTTAATGGAATTAACTAAACAAATCACTCCACCAACTAAGAACGGCCATGCACCACCACCTATAGAATCAAGAAGAGCTCAATGTAATTAAGTAATCAATGTAATTAAGTTGAAATAAATAAATATAGATAAATTTTATAAATTCATCTAAAAAGGCTTCTTAAATGCTTTATAGATGCTACTTTGACTTTATACATGTTTATAGGTTGAAAACTTGGTCAACAAGTTAATCACGTATTAGACAAGTTAATAGCTTGTAGAACAAGCTAATTATATGATGTATCTATAGAAAATTTGCCTTGTAAGTTAAGACATGTATTTAGCAAAGTTAACATATGTTGGAGGTCATTTAGAACATCACCATGTAGCTCCTAGTTAGATAGTACATATAGAAGTAAGAATAAAGCTTTCTTCACTCTTATCAATCCATTTTTAGTCTTTAGTCTTATTTCAAGATTTTCTAATTTTCTTATCTTTAGCAATAGCCATTTTAGTTCAATATATTATCATCTTTTAATGACTTTCTAATCTTTTCAAGTGACATAAGAATGTATTGAGTTTCCTTTCTTTGAGACTCATGTCCTTGATACTCTAATACATGCTTTGAAAAATAAAATCTTTCTTTTTTATAAGTTTTTAAATAATGCTTTTGATTTTTTAAAATGGATTGAATAAAGGCTTAAATTTATCATAAAATTTAGAAAACTCATAGATTTTAGATTTTATTTATTAATTTGATTAATATATCAATATTTGTTAATAAAACAAATTAAAACTATAAAAAATATAATTTTAATAAATATTTTTTAATAAATATATATATATATATATATATTATGCTAAAAAAATATATTTTTAATTTTTAAAAAATCTTATTATTTTTTTTTAAATAGACTAAATTACTACTTACAATAATTTATGGTTTATTTTTGACATTAAATTTTAATTTCTTTATGTTTTTTTTTATTATTTTAAGAAAATTTAATTTTTTTCAACAAACTATAGAATAAATTTAAAATTTAAAACTAATCTAAAATAATAGACATTTTTTTAACTTTTATTTTTTTATTTTTTAAAAACTTGAACCTGAAAAGATGTCCTTTCGTTTTTTTTTTGGTATAGAAGTAATTTTACTTTTCACTAATAGATACATGATTTAAAGTAAATTATGAGTATATCAATTCTATTAGAATTATTTATATTTTTAAAATAATATTTTTATTGATTTTTATAGTATTTATGAATTTAAATATTTTATCATTTTGACTTTCAAAATATCTTGCATAATTTTCACTAACAAAGCTAGAAATTTTAGCTCTTTGTTAAAAGTGAAAATGAGCATAAGTATGTATGATCGTTTATTACAATGCAAAGTGCATAATCTATTCATCTCCATATTTATGGAAATAAGATGATGAGTACAATAGTTGTAAGATGTAGATGTTTCTTTATTATAGGTTAATTTAGCTGTTTAATGCATTACATACAGGCTTTGGTATAAAAACACAGGTTCAAATCCCATGACCATCATGGAGGCTTTTTGCTTAGGAAAAAATATATTTTTGATTTTTGATCACACATGAAATGTGTCTGAGAACTTTATACAGATTATTCTACAACTTTATAGTCTATGCTATGAAGATATTGTTCTTGAGCTGGACTTAAGCAAATAAATAAATACAAACCTACATCTAATGTGCAAGCTTGGCACATCAATAAAGATTAAATTATTAAATAATAATAGATAACAAAGAGATTACACTACTAATGTAGTCAATTTTCTTCAAATAACACCTCTTCAAAGTTCAATCAACCAGTTTGTATTCCATTCTATTCTTTATGATATGCATTTTTTGAGACTTCACTCAAATTTTAATTAATCTAGTAATTATAAATTAAATCACCTAATCTTCAATTAAATCATCATTTGTAGTTTAGAAAGATCTAATTTCAATTGTATATATATGGTTGAAGAAATTATAAATTCCCAAAAAGATAGGATTAATGATATTTATATTTACAGAATTTCAAGAAAAACATGATTATTGACCAAAATGTGAATTTTTTCTATTTTATTTTATAAAATTTTAAAATTTGGATTTTCATTTATTCCTTTTATTTCGTTTTTAAAGAAATATCTCCAGCAAAGATTATCTTTCTAAAAAAACAATAAACTTGTAAGCAATGACATTATTAAAAAAAAAAACAATCTTACATATACATAAAATAGTAAGGTTCTACAATTTCTGAAAATGGTGTTGTTAATAATACACAAAACAATCTTTTAGTATTTTTTCATTGTAAAGATTTAGAATGTGTTTTTCTTTCTTTTTTCTTTTTTCTTTTGTTCCTTCATAAATGAGAGTATTATAACAACTATTGTCCACAACATTTTAACCGGCATTTTATTTTAAACACTTCATATCAAATGTTATTTTAAAAATGTGTTTGGGTTTACTTTTTAGTATATTTATTATTAACCCAAATAATTTGGATAACTTTACACACTGTAACTGAAATAACAACATTCTAATTATGCTTGTTTTCATTTACAGGCTATAATATGAAATTAGAAAATAAAATACATACACATTAAGTATATATATATATATATATATATATATATATAAACACTTCGTTGTGTTTATTTAGAAAAAAATAACTTTTATATTTTATTGTGTGGAATAAATATAATAAATGATAAAATATATAATACTTCATTGACAATAATTTTATCTCAAATTAAATATATATATATATATATATATATATAATGTGAAAGGATAGTTCAAGCTATGGTTCTTGTTTTTTTATGCTAAAATAAAATGTGAATCTTCTAACTAAATAGTATTTGTAATGGCACATTGTAATATAAAAGATATATGACAGTGTACAGATATATATATATATATATATATCGACATACATAGATACTGTGAAAAGAATGACTTGAAAGAGAAGACGCGTAAAACAAATAGATTAAATAACTTCCCACTCTTACATTTATTCACATACACACACACGCATGCACCCATAAATTAATTTGTCACCGTGTGAATTTTAATGTTATGGTTTCTTTAGATTTGCTAAATGTCGATCCTACTTACCTTCGAGCACAGCACCCCTCTCGTTTTTCCTGCACAAATGCACAGAAGAAGCATTTTTCAAAGAATGACAGCGTTCTCCCATCTCCCGCATCCACCTTTTTTCATTAATTAAATATCTGAGTTGGTTTGTTTATTTGTTGGAACTGTTATGACTTTGTGAGCAAAGGAAACATCCCGGAAGCCCTAAAGGCGTCACCTTTGAGGGCGGTGTCCAACGAGAACCGGGCTTCACTAGCGGAGTAGCCGCGTGGGCTAGTTAGAATTAGGGTTCTCCTTCAATGGCCGCGCTGGTTCCTCAAATTAGGGTTTCCTCCTCACTGCCCGCCATCCCCCCGCCTCCCCCAATTGGGCCCTGCACTGCAATGTCTCAGTGCCAAGTTCCCAAGCAACTTGGGTGCCATTTCGGCAATTCATCGACAGCCGCGCATGTAGCCTGGAGATCTGGCAACTTTTCAAAAGGCCTGCCTCGCTCTCGCACACTGTCCTCCTTCTCCACGGTGCTCACTTCCCCTTTTCTCTTGTCGTTGGTAATGCCGAAGGGTGAGCTACCTCAGATGGGACCCCATTTTTGGGCAAGCACCTCTCCACCCTTTTATCCTGATATTTGTAGCTCTGTCACCACAAGCAATGCAACTTGCCCTGCCCTGCCCTGACTAACAGTCTGACTCGAGAGGGGTTGGACCGATGATCGCGCGCTGCTGTCCATGGATCGTCCACAAATTCGCCGACTGTTTCTCCCGGGTGCCTTGGGCGTGCCCTGCGGGGGTGTGCTTTTCGCGACAAGAGGCGCTCTGCGCCTCACGTTTCCATCACTAATGCAGACTCCGCCAGACGATTGCACCTTGCGGAACCGAGGACAGTTCACCATGCCCGCTTTCCAGTACACTGCCAATGACGAACGCTGAATCATCTCAGGCTCCCTGCCGCAATTGCGTTCATCCTATTCCCATCCATCACAATTCATTAATAAAATAACTACATTTGAAAGGATACATTTACTGCACATGTTTTCGTAAGCCCACTAAAAAACACAGAATGTGAAAGTTCGCCGAGAAATTCACATGCAATGTTTCACAGAACCGGGACTGGCCTACATCCCCAGGATCTAAAACACAATTTTGTTTTATTTTCATAGAATGAACGAAAGTAAACTGACATTCGTTGTTTGTTATCAATGGTCGGTTTTCTCAACCGATCATTTATCATCAACGGGACACATCCATCAGCAGACACCGAGAATGAATTCATAACCGGGTATGAAAAATTGGCGTCACGGTGACGTAGCGACAAAGCGAAGGCCAGAAAAAAGGGTTTCCGAGAAGGAGCATCGCCATTTATAGAGAGAACTGGAGCGATTGCAAGGTGCAAAGTGGAGGGACTAAATCACTTCAGCTGCCTTGAGCGCAGGCCCCAAAGCTGAGAAGGTATATTCTATTCCACCCCCAGATGATACCACCATCTGCAGTGCGAAAGTTCTGGTCCCTCGTACTGTACAGCGTCTATTCTTACACGCCCCTTCTGTACATACAGATCACCGGCAGATCTTTTGGTGTCACGAAGCATTGTGATGGCCTTGGCTTCTTTCACGTATTGTATATGTGTTAGTATACGAGTACTCTACACCACTCCTTTGTGATCAATGTCAACTCAAGGAATCAACTTTGGCTTTTAGAGCATTATTGACAGTATTAGATAGCTGAATGAGTTGTGATGGAAATTTGTAATGACACTTTTATTGGATATGTACCAAGCAGAAGATTCGTGTTGAGATTTTTCAATTGATCATTTGAAGGGATCATGTTAGTGGTGTCAAACTTGTGTGTATATATATATATATATATATATTCACATATGTACATTAACAATCTAGTCGTTTATTAGCTTGTTGAACACTCCATATAAAAAGAAAACAGTGTCCAAACGTATTTTCGTACGATTCAAAATTTCCTGCACCCTAAAAATATGGACATTTATATATGATACGAAACACTTTTGAAACTTTCATGTCTCAATCATGTCTCATTTCACATTAAAATACATTTACTACCCACAATTTTGAAGTGTGTATACAGTCACATATTTTAATATAAATGGGAGAGAGGGGTATAGCCTGAAATCCAATCAAATCACTACTCGCAACCACAAACAGTATCGAAATCTAAGGCCAGCCATCGGAAGCATGCAAGCAGACACGGATCCTTCCTTAGAAAGCGCCGGAGCGACAACAGGAGACAGGCGCGAGATATTCCATCGCATACGTTCATCAGCACGATGAGATACGATGCAAGGATGGTAATTACGAAATGGGATACGAGGCCATGGGTGGTGGCTAGTTCCGGGGCAGAGCGGCAGCTGGGGTGCATGCGCAATAAGGGACTTGAGAGCGGAAAAAGATGCCGCAACGCGATTATTAAATGCGAAAAGAATGGTGCTCTGAAAGGGAAGAACACGTCAAAACGATCCATGGTGGACTGGGCGACTAAGAATAGCACGGGACGGGGCAAAGTGGGAGTCAGGAGAAGCTTTTGCTCATGTCGGCCGCCACTGGAAAAAAGGATAGCTAACCTTAACAAGTTCTGGCGTTGGACGATGGGAAACCAGAAAAAGGAATAAACAAAGAGGAAAATGCTCACAGGAATGGAAAGGAATGGATCATGCGAGACGGGAGGCCCGGTGGGCGGGGATGAGTCCGTGTGTGGTCGTGGTTGGGTGAGGGTGTGTGTGTGTGTTCGTGCGCGTGAGGATGGATGTTTCTCTGTCGCTCCTGTCTGTGATCAATGATCGATGGGTCGATCAGGTTGCGGCTGCAGGCAGCGGAGCGTGACGCTACTTGAATCATGCGTTGGGAGGGTAGGAACATGACAGGGGCTGGACGGATCTGAAGCAGTAGTGAAGGCGTGGTGTGTGTGGCAGTGACCTCGATCGTCCGCTCAGTGTCAGCTCGTCAGGGGTACATTCCGCGAGTCTGGCCTATGGATGTACAGTCGTCGATATCCAGTCCAAATAAGTCCTTTTCTTCGCGACTGATGACGATTTGCCCACAGATGAGAGTGATAGTGAGAGAGATAGAAGAGAATGGGAGTGATTGATCTAGTAGCGTAGTTCATGGACACATGATATCATGTCGAAGTACACAGGGGTGTCGTCGACATACGGTACAGAGGAGGGCCTATTCTTAGAGGTGTCGAAGGTGGAGTGATTTGAGGGAATAGTCCAGGGTAACTTTGTTTTGTGGATGGATTTCTGCTGTGTAGTGACCAGGGCTGGCACGCAGCGGAAAGTGTGGGACATTAGTTGGGGTTGTCGGAGCTTGCCTTTCTCTGCTGCTCAAGGAAGAGGGGGAGGAGTGTCTACCAGTCGCTAGTCGGAGGGTGCATGCGCATTTCGTGATATCCCACGAACAAGATTCTTCCGTCATCTCAGTCTTCATCAGCTTTGGAAATCCCTGCTGTCGTCGACTCACTCAAACTGGGCTGAATTCGTCCCAGTTGGCAGGAACGGGTGCAACACGTGTTGGAGGTGATCCGAGATTTCGTGGCTTCCCAAGCTGTTGACTTCGGCAGATTTTGTGTCACGAGAAACTAGAGAGAGAGGGACAGACGGGGAGAAGAGAAATCTCGCAGAATCTGTGTTCAACTGAGTAACGTCGGGAATCAAGCGTGTATTTTGCTCCTGACATTTGCGGTCAGTGAGAATTCGCCAGTTGATATCCGGAGGTTCGTGTGGAGACGCGTACTGGTGAGTGGATGACGATCTTGTGACTCGTAGGAGAGTGGTATTGTATTTAGCAGTGCTGTTTGAATAGGGGAGCTTCATGTTTCAATTGTGGTCCATTAGCTTCTGAGAGGATATGGATTCGGAGAGGATTTGGGCGCTGGAGAAGAACGAGAGCAAGGGTTTGGAGTTCACAGCCGCCTGGTGCGGGTGCAGGTTGCGGAGGGTATGCACTGTTCTGTTCTATTCTGTTCAGGTCATGGAGATCAAGAGCTCGGGAGCTGCACTGCGATGGCAGCACATTTCTTTACCGTGAGGTGCGTTCGCTTCATAGAACTGTCGCCGAAAGTCCAAATGAGTTGGATACTTGTCCTGCTTTCAGTTGAGCCTCTTCACGTCGGGGCATTTCATCTACCAGCGACCATGGTGGAGCCTTTGATGTTACTTTCGACATGGGCTGAGAGACCCAAGAGCATTGTTTCTATTGCGATAGGTTTTATTCTTGCTGGAATCGCTACCGGTTTCGTGCTGTTCCGTTTGGAAGTTGCCAAGCGGAGTTAAACCTCTGTACATTTGAGGCCTTTTTATCATAATTATTGTTATCACTCTCCCCCCTGCTCTTTTTTTGTATTCCGACTAGGGGAGTAATGATTTGGTTAATTCACCCGATACAGAAGCGGTCCAGACTTGAAGTATCCGTATCTTGATCTGCGAGACTTTTCGTCCGTTTAGTTAGACGCAGCACACTTAAGAAGTAGGTTGCGAGGTGAACTATTGTAGTTTAGCTTTGGACGTCAATGCTCGTAAGAACTAATTTGCTAAATCTTTCGAGCATGATCGCGGGACTTCTAACTTTCTAATGCTTCAGTGCTCACCTGAAATGTCTCACCCAACCGTGATGCTTGAGCTTAACATTGAGGTTACGATTGTGCGCGTAGTGTTCAGTAATCAATGCATTTGTTACATCGCACGTCAAAGTAGGCAAGCGCTTCAAACCTCACTTGGCATTCGTGCCTGCCATTTGATGCTGCTAACACTGTAACCATTTCATTCGTCAATCGAAACTGAGATAGAGACGCTAGGAAAGGATCATGCCCTTGTAACATCGGGCAGGTACACTCTGTGAGGATTTTAGAGGGATTCGGGGTAAAGTTTTTGATTTTCATCTCACTCTGCATGAGTGCGTTCTACTCCGTCGCAACTTTTCCTTTTGAAATAAAAAAAATTCTGGCTATCATAAGAACTAAGATCTCTCTGACTTTGATTTTGGGAACTGGGTTATGTTGTGCAGATGAGTATGTGCTGTGAAAACATCTTGGCTCGAGAGAGTGAGAAGATTGAAACCTCCTTCTAGCGCTGCCAGTATCATTTGCTCGACGCAAAGCTCTCTACAATATTTGGGATGAGAGCAATGAGGGCCTACGGTGACGAGTTTGTGGTTGTCAGTGCGGGAGAACAACCTGAAGACGATCTCACGGAGATAACCATCAACTGCCCTGACAAAGTTGGACTTGGATGTGATATCGCCCGTACTGTATTCGAGTTCGGCTTGAGCATCACAAGAGGAGGTAACTAGAATCTAGAGGATGCTCATAAGTTTGCAATTTTCTCTGCCTTCCTAAGCATCGCACACGCCTTCTCGATTTGTCATATCGTAATTTGAAGTCGCACATGCTATCGCAGATCTAGCTACCGACGGTCGGTGGTGCTTCGTGGCGCTCTGGGTAATCCCAAGGAAGAGAATACTGCCCACACGCTGGACATTGCTGAAGCAGCGATTGGAGGACGCTTGCCCTTCCGCGCTCCCAACGCTCCTACCCAATTGCACTCAAGTGTCTTTATCACAGAGAGTGCTGCTGCTTCAAGTTTGCTCAATCGATCGCACTGGCCTACTCAATGGTGATCAGAAATTCTCCCTGCGTCTCTACCTTTTGATCCTTGTTTCGATTGACGACATATGCCTTCACTTCAATCACTGCGAACCAGGCGCACAGATAGTCCTCCTAAGTTGTTGAGAGGATACTCATCTTCGTGGGGGTTCATTATTGCAGACGTAGCACAAAAGCTTTGGGAACTTGAGTTCACAATTCACAAAGTGAAGGTGTCGACAACCCCAGAGGAGAAATCCATCAATTTTTTCTTCATAAGTGACAGTAGGTATGTGGAACCCCCCACCATCTTCTCCCCATCTTTCGAAACCCGCAGGTGATCGAGCTGTCTCAGGATGTGACTTACAGTCAGATGATGTGGCGCTAATGGATTGTACTCGTGGTGACAGCGTTTGTATATGACTGTGGTTGCAGAAACAAGCTGCCTTGGAAGAAACGAGGGGATGAGGTGATCCAACAAGTGAAGGAATTGCTGGGAACGAACTGTTTGCATTGTGATATCAGGCAGGCGAGTCAGGAGCTTAGGGGGTTAGACATTCTTCCCCCGCCGGCCTGGCTCACCAAGGATTTGTTTTACGATGATGCTCCTTCGTTTGAGAACAGCAGGGGTGATACTGTGGGAGTTCAGAATGTCTGCTCGGCCACCATTGATGTGAAGCACGATACTATCAATAGCCCTCTGCACACTCTACTCCAAGTGACATGTAAGAGGCGGAAGGGTTTGTTGTATGACACTCTTCGATGCGTGAAAGACCTGGAACTGCAGGTGGCACACATGCGAATCGCATCACTGGATAATGGCAATAGTGAGATCAGCGTCTTTTTCTTGAACTCCAAGGGCCAAAAGATCACCGACCCAACCAAGAAAGAAGAGATCCTCTCTTCCGTAAGAGAGGCAGTCGATAACCCTCTGCGCATCAAGATCATCACTCGAGGAGTCGACACCGAGTTGTTCGTGTCAACCCCCATCGAGAATTGCGGAAGGGGCCGCCCTCGCGTCATCTACGATGTCACTCTCGCTCTGAAGATGCTAGATGTCGGCATTTTTCAGGTTAATATTCCCCCACCTTCATTAGTCGCACTCGACCTGATGTCACAACCCTCAACGTCTTCTTATCCCATCCACCACTCGACTTGAAGCCAGTGCTGAATGCTGAAATCTGCTCATCCTTGTTCCTCCTGTTGCAGGCTGACATTGGACGTCACGAGGTGAACAACCAACGTTGGGAGGTCTACCGCTTTCTGCTGTCGGACAGAGAAGATTTCAACCTAACCTACACCAGGAACCGCAACCTCATCATCGAACGAGTTCAAGACATGCTGATCGGGTGACGAACCTGATGCAGCTCTCCTCTCCTTCGATGCACTCTCGTCGAATTCCTGCCCTTGGTAGCGCTAGGAGGGACATGGGGAGATCTTGTCACATTGGTGAGCTCCTCTGTAGGGATTGGAAGGAGAGTTTTGCGTCGTACCCACTAGAGGCCCTTAGTTACATATGCACATGCCATCCGTAGTCTATGCTAGCAACTCCTTCAATTGAAGGACCACGCCGGTGTTGTTGTTGGCACTCACCATCACGCGACTGCAACAACGAAACCGCCGATTGTTTCCTTATCTCTCCTTTCTTTTCTTCCTATGTAAATACTGTACATAGTATGTGATACAGATTCAATTTATACTACCTCTGTACCCAGTTAGAGAAGTAGTCCGCTATACATCCGAATCCTCCCTAGTTTTAGTTGAAGAAACAGCTTGTTTCCTGGTGGAGGAATACACCAAGTACCGACGCCTGTCTGCGTGGTTCCTCTTCAGCATGTTGTATTATATTGTGCACACTGGTAAGCCCTTGTCCGATCATACTGTTCGTATGACTTTGTTGCACACATGTGTAGTACACTTGATGATATTCTCTTCAACAACGGATTGTATAGTGTTGCGACAGAAATTACCTGACTTTTCCTTTGCAACTGTAATAAACGCTCAAATCCGAAACCTCATCTTTGTTTGAAACTTACCTCACAAACACATCAATTCTCATGCACAGATAAATATTATTACGTTCATGCTTGACAATAAGTAGGTAATAATAGCATCACTGCTTATTTATGAAAAGTAAAAGCAAATTTCAATGTATTTACTATAGTATGCCATTTTGTACCCTATTGATACGTTATACGGATATTTTACAGCCATAAATTCGCAAACACAGGTCCATAATATCTGAACACAAAGACCATAACAGATTTGCATTTTTCTCTAACTTCAATCCTAAACAGTAATGGAAAACTGCAGCACAAATTTGCGTCATGTTGCAAAGAATAACAATATCAATCAGAAGAGCATATATGCTCATGTCTGAAAGAAATGTATATCATTAAATAAAAAAAGTATATGTACTACCCACTCACTGACATATTTCCCAAAGACTTTGTCCAATATTATCTCATGTTTGATAAAAAATGTACCTACTTTGCAGAATACGTTCCCAACACACACTCTAAACTTTTTATTTCACATATCTATCATCCATGTGTGTCTACACACAACAATGTTGGATACATACCTCAAAATTTGTAAGCATCTTACATATGGACTACCAAATGTTGGGAGTCTCTAAAATAAATTGATAAGAGAGGTGTAGGGTTAAGGATTCGAGGATTTAAAAAAAAAAACACTAAAGGAATATTTTTGACCAATTAGACAATGTTTAGGGTTTATTAGAACGTTTTGGTGCAAGGAGTTATTTGGATTTTTTTTGTTTATCTAATTCACTACCTGGGTACCTTTTCTTCTCTGGCCTAAATAGGGTGCAAAGCATTTATAGAAGCAAAGCAAAGGCTAAGCTGGAAAGGCAGAATGAATAAATTGAAAAATAAGATAATTTATATTTTATGAAAAAAATTCGCAAATTTTGTGCTGTTTTACAATGAAAATTTTAGTTCAACTTTATACTGATTTTAGTTTTGATATGTATATGTATGTATAAATTTACTTCAAAATAAATTTTTTAAGGGCATGATGTTCAATAAACTTGGCTATTATCATACATTTTAGAAGTCTTTGTAAATGATTCATAGCTTCTTCGTATAACTATGTTTGTAAAAAACTAGAGAGAAAATTTGCTCCTTTTGTCAAACAATTCTGTTTCGTTTCAATGTTACTATTGAACTTTAGACAATCCTTTATAATCATACTTGAATAAACAATAAAACAAAATACTAAGTACAGTACTTGAAATTTGCAATGTTATACAGCATTAGTGTGATTTTAATCAATGATATGTTGAAAATCAACCTTTTAGTAAAACTCATTATTCAGAAAACATTCTAAATTACCATTTTTATTTAGAAAAGAAACATAATCTCTCTCTCTCTCTCTCTCTCTCTCTCTCTACATATATATATATATATATATATATACATATATATACATATATATAATAAAGCATTAATGGGTCTTTGTTACATTTATTGTTCTTATTATTATTATTATTAATAAAATAATCCAACTTACTTAAAATTTAAGAAACCAAAAAAAGAAAAAAGAAAAGCACATTTTTTGAACTACTAATCACCAATATTTAACAAAAAAGAAAATAAATATTGTAAAAGAGTCATTTTTAGCTATATTATAGTAAATTCAAATTCAAATTAATTTTAAGCCAAAGAATAATTTCTACTATGTATATATATATATATATATATATTAAAGATTAACAATACCTTTTGAATTCAGGCTCCTATTCACAAATGAACTATGAAGTTAAACAATATCAAATTTGGTTATTAATTAAAAGCATTAAAGATTAACAATTCAAACAAGAACTCAGTGGCAACAAGGGGGGAAAGTTGATGTGAGAGTTTAGAGCAAGAGGGAGAGAAGGGTCCCTTTTGGAACGTGAATGATAGTGTGTTTTGGTTTTTGGGGTGTGGCTGCGCTCAAGACTTTGCCAAAAAGGGAACTCGGGGGGTCCAACGGAGAGCATCATGAAAAGCCATCAGCCGTTTATGAGGGTTCTTGCAGAAGGAAGTTAGTAATCATACGCTTGTCTCAAAGCATAATTAAACCATGTGTGTGTAAGTATTAACTCTTTTGTATTGTAAAACTGCATATGGCTCATTAAATCAGTTGTAGTTTTTTTTTGATAGTGCCTTGCTACTTGGATATTTGTAGTAACTCTAAAGCTATTACGGGCACAAACTCCTGAATTCTGGAAGGGACATACTTATTAGATAAAAAATTAGATCATGGAATGGCATGTACAGTAGTTAATGGGTGAAATGTTGAAGGAAGGAGAAAATATAAATCAAAATAAAAATAAAATTTAAAATTTATTAGAATAAAATTGTATGGAATGTGTGTTAGAAAAGGTGCTGCTATAAAAGAAGAGTAGCTCAACTTGGATATAAACTAGTATAAAAATGACTTTAAGAGATTTGGATTGAGGAAGAATGCAACATATTAGAGGCAATATGAGCACTAAGTCAAGAAGGATAATGACATCCAACTACAAGTATTCTTGAGAAGAGTCACCCCAGTAGCTATAGATTTAGTTTTGTTGAATTTCTTTTCAAAACAAATCCAACAAAAATTGTGGTTGATGCAAAAGTAGTAAAAATAAAACCAAAGGTTTTGCAAAAACAATGTATTATGATTTAGTTTGTTGGAATAAATCCCCTTTTAAAACAATTTTGAAAAGACTATTAAATGACCCTGTTATTAAGCAAGAACGTTAGTAGAATATCTTTTTTTAAAACCTTCTTCTGAAGAAGCTATCCAATGAAATACATAAAAAGTAATAAAGTATTTTGGATAGCTGAAGTTAAGAAAGTAATTGGTGCTAATTTAAAAATAAGAAATCAAGAATAAAGATATTATATTGTGTTTATTTTTTGAGAAGATTTAAAACTAAAATTAGTGGTGATCAAATTGTTTAAAATTAATTTTGATAGATTACAACTTCTTTTCAATTTGGTGTAGATTTGTTTTGGCCACAAAATACCACATTAAAGATTCTATAGCTTTAATAATTTTTTAAAGAAATAAATTTAAGACTTATTAAATATATATATATATATATATATATATATATATATATAAAATTTTAGATTTCCAATCAACTTATGAATTAAACAGATTTTAGAACAATGTTTTTTAAAAATCAATAGCATAGACAAAATTAAGAAATAAAGAAACCTTAAAAACATAATAAAAATTTAACTTTAATAGTCAAAAATAAAAATAATATATAACAGTAAAAAGAAAGAACAAAGAATAAATAAAAAAATGTGAAGAAACAGTGTACAAATAGAATTCTATTATGTCTAAAAAAATATAAGATTCTTAACATATAGCAAGAAGGACATGACTACTTCAAAAAATAATTATACTAACAAAGTTTATGACATATTACATGAAAATAAAAAGAGCTTTCTATCGATAAAATAAATTACAGCAATTAAAGAAAAAATTGCAAAGTAGGATGTAAAGAAAGAAAGAAAATAAATCAAGAATTCAAAAGAATCAAGAAATAATCAATGCTATAAGAATATTGTAAATAAAGCTAATTTAAAAAGAAATGAGGAGCTTATCCTAAGTATGTATAAGGTAAGAGGAATAAAATATTTAAATATCTAAACATATATAAATATAAAATTAAGCACTGATACCATACTAGCTATTAGAATTGACATTGTTTAATATCAATTAGAAATACAATGTAGAAACTTATTCTTAAAAGATATTACAAGCAATGATAGTTTTTTTTAAACAAAGTAATCTAAAAAACAAAATAAGTGGCCTTAATACCACTTTAATTATTTACTTTGTCATGTTATATCATACTAGTTGATTAATAATGTAAAGGCATTTATTTGTAAATACATTAAATCAATAGAAGAAATAAAAAATAAAATTCAAGCTCTTATATGTACTATTGATGAAGAATAATTAAAATGGATAAATTATGTAATTATATTAATAAAAAAATCAAAAAAATAAGACAATGATAACAACTATTTTGGTTCACATATTAAAATCTTAATTTGAAAGATAGTAGTTACCTTATACTAATCCTTCTAGTTGAAATTTATATTTTAAAGATCAAAATTTTATTAATAATTTTTATTAATAAAAATACTTAATTATTTTCTTTTATAGATTTTTATAGATTAGATTATAATTATATGACATTTGGACACTTAAATTAACTTAAGATAATTAATTTTTAAATTAGATTAGAATATACAATATTAAACCTATTCTTATTAAGAAACCAAAGAATTACAATTTGGTTGCTATTCTTACTTATGGGAATTAAATAATATAAAAATAATATATTATTATAATATTACAAGCTAGTAAAAGACTTCATGAAGGATGCCATTTAAATGATTTCTTACAAAAAAACTCTTCTAAAGTTCTTATATAAAAAATAAAAAAAAAAAGAAAAAGATAATAACATAGAAGTAACTAGATGTCTTCTATTAGAAGACATTTTGCAAGCCACTTATAACAACTTGGAATTGTTATTGAACTAATATCATATATTAAATAATTATAAGTGCAATATTAAGTTTTTGATAGAAAATCTTTAGAACATATTATAGCATTCTACAAAAAAAACTAATAAAAATAATAAATAAATAAATAAATAAATATATATATATATATATATATATATATATAATATAAAATTTACAACAAAATCTTGGTTAGTAGTCTATCAGATTCAAAGAGAATATTTAGTAGTAAAAATAAGGAAGAACCTAAATTGACAAAAAATAGTTTCAATAGTAGAATCATAGTTTAAAAAAATATATTTAAAGTAAGATTCTTACTTTTTAAGTGATCAAATTTGATATTTTTATTTTTTTAGTATA